GGGCTGTCACCGGAATTAGCAAAAACTAAATACTGCAGATGCTGGAAATCTGAAATAAGAACAAAAACCGCTCGTTGTACTCAGCACATCTGGAAGCATCTGTGGAAAGAGTATGTTTCAGGTTGATCACCTGATTTTTCCCACTCATGCTGCCTCACCTGGTGGACTATTCTAGCAGTTTTTGTTCCTATTACTGGAATCAGCAAACCTTTAACCAAATGCAGGCAGGCGATCAAGACACTTAATATCTCAATCAGTTGTCATTTTTGGACGAGCCGAAAGTTTACTGGCATTGCAGAGCCCCTCACTGTGTCTGAAGTCTGCCGTTACAGAAGATCAGGAGGCGAACCAGGGAACTCCTCCTTCCACATGGACTGTTCTGGGCCCTCATGTCATTAAGGGCACCATCTCAATTTTTCTATGCCCGAGTAGCTCTCGCCTGTCTCCCAAGTTGAAATGCCAGCCAGCCATCATTTTGGCCCTGCAACTGTCTCTCTTGCTTCCACTTCCTGTTTGATTTTAACTACCCAATAAACAAACCAGCAGCCAATTAGTCAGACAGCTCCTGTACGCAACTTCTGGCAAGAAGCAGCAGCTCAGTACTCACAAAGTGTCCCAATGTGGACGTCCCTACCGCTCACTGAACAGTCTAGATTGGTTATCTCAAGTGAACAAGTCACACAACACAGAAACAGACCCTTTGCCCAACTTGTCCACGCTGACCAGACATCCCAATCTGACCTAGTCCCATTTGCCAGCATATGGCCCATATCCCTCTAAACTCTTCCTATTCGTATACCCATCCAGATGCCTTTGAGCCAAGTGCCAAGGGAGATGGAAGAACACTTTACACTCACTCATTCATTCAAAGCAAATTAGGTCGATAAGATAATTTTGAACACAGTACAAGTAAATTAAACTCTTATATGTGTAATATACCAGTGATTTTGCATCTATGGCTCCCAATGAGGGTTTTCCTCATCTCATACCTGAGTTTGTTATAGATTGGTTGATAGAAGCTAATCATTGCGTTTGATCACTATCTTCATTATCATTGCATTATGACACAACCTGATGAATTTTGGTCCTTTTCACTGAACAATCTCTATCCGTGTTCTTTTACTCTTCTGTCCTAGATTACATCAGTCATCTCACAAAGAACTCACATCCTTTGTCATCCTGCTCTCCTATCTCTTCTGCTTCTTTTCCATTTTTTTTGTGTTTCACTTATATTTTCACTTTCTCCATATGTTCCACCCCCTCGGTGATGATGGGGGAACTTTGATGACGTTGCTCATGGTAATGTCAAGGGATATGATAAAAGGTGATAACTTAGGTGTGACAGGAAATGTGAGGTAATATAGAAGAATGCTTATTATTATCAACTTGTCTTATAAGGGCTCGTTCATTGTGTTATGAAGAATGCAAGTGTAGCCAATAAATTGAATGGGAAATGTATTATAGAGGAAGCATGGCAGTGACAGCAAGTGCTGCTACACCTAAGTTTTCTTTAGAAATACATGTACGAATAATTTTTGCACTGCATCTTATAACATTGAAGCAACTAAATATATTAACACATACTGTAAGAGTTCCAGAGATAACATGTGGAGTGAGGCGCTTGTTGATAGGCTGAAATGTACTTTGCTGGACTCCCGCTGCCGTGTTCACAATGACATTGCCTCCAACAGTGGCTACAAAGAAACGAAATCAATGTGAATGCAAACTGAAATGAGAGAGGTGCTGAGTCTATCATTATGGATTCCTTGTAGAGCAATCACTTACCAGTCTGAATGCTTGTTGTGCCAGCTGCTGTTTTAATAGCTCCAGGCTGCTGAAAAACAGATAGAAAATGTTAAGTGGAGCAATGTAAATCCCACCCCTATCTAATATACTGTAACAGCATTCACTGTTATGTCCTAAAGCACTATTAAAATGAGTTAAACAACTGACAGGCATCCTTCAGCTGCCTGGCTTCTGAGCTCATTCCCTGCCTAAACCACTAATTCTGTAATTCTCTCTCCCTTTCAAGATATTCGAAAACAAACTACCTCGTCAACCAAGCTTTTAATCACCTATTATATCCATACGTGGCCACCAGTCTAAACATGCTGGTTAATGCTCCCACAGACTACTCTGGGACATGTTAAATTAAAGATCGCGCATAGGTGCAAGGTGCTACTGTTTTTAATGTAACTGATCTGAAATATTAAAGAAACATTTATCAAAGGGCCAAATCCTAATGATATTTGAAATGACAAAATACAAGTCAATGCCCAATTCCCTGCTCAATCTAAAAATGGAGTCACAAATTTCTAACATTTTTTAAATCAAGAAGATCCAAGAGACAAAATAAATGCCTAAATCTAATTGCTGTTATAGTCTCTCACTCCCATATACTAGAAATCAAAAACAACTTGCTCATAAATGGTCATTTAAGCCAGGTCTTAAATGAATCAAACAATCAAAATTAAAGATATGAATACATTAAAATTGTGGAGAAGCGTGATCCAAGTTTGTAATGGCAGATGGGCATAGTTGCATTATCATTGGACTAGTAATGCTAGAGGCCCTGTTTCATGCTCTGGGAACACCAATTCAAATTCCTTTACTAGCTGATAGAATTTCAATTCAGTTAATAAATCTGAAAAATAAAACTGGTCTCAGTAAAGGGATGTGACCATGCATCTAATCAATTGTTCTAAAAATCTACCCGATTCACTAATGTCCTTCATGGAAGGAGCATATGCCATCCTTACCCAGTCTGGCCTCATTATGACACCAGACCCACAGCAATGTGAGCTCTCTCAAATTGCCAGGTAAGCCATTCAGTTCAGGGGCAATTAGGGATTGGCAACAAATGTTAGTCTTGCCAGTGACTTGCAAAGCCCATGAAAAAAATTTAAAAAGCCACACCTAGAAATTGAGCTCCAGCAATTCAATTCTATTCCCTCTATTTCTTATATTTATGTTTGTTTTTAAACAATTTTCTTCAATTGAATACAGGTTGTTGTGATCTGGAAACACTACTTAAAAAGCAAGATTAGAGGTAATTAGGTAATTAATTAATAACTCTGAAAAGGAACTGGATAAATAGTGAAGAGGGAATAAATCTTTAGAGCAATGAGAAAAGAGCAGCTAAGCAGAATTAATGAGGTGGTTCTTATAAAGAGCCAAATTACCTCCTTTGTGCTGTGCAACTTTTATTATTCCTACAACAAATATGCAACATGCACAAGGAAAATCCTCCATGAAAGAAAAGCAAATGAAAACAATCTTTCTTACCAGCACTGTAGTGTTGGTAACAGTGGATGCAGCAGTCTGGACAACAGCTTGAGACTGCTGAAGCACTGGATTCTGAGACTGCGAGCCCTGTTGCTGTTGTGCAGCTGGCTGGGTATTTTGCTGTGCTTGCTGTTGCTGCTGTGCCAGTTGTTGGGCTCTCTGCTGCTCTGCTAAAGCCTTTAAGTTCATTAAAAATAAATGTACATATTATTAATAAATTTTGTAGAAATTAAGTTTCATTCTAATTCTCTTTCATTTCCGATTCCTGGGTTTTTTCAACATGGTTTCTTAGCAAAACCACGAACTGCTTCAAAGGAAAAGAAATGACAAAAGATCTACGATTTTAAATCAGAAAAGTAAGTATAATATTATAGAAATTGTAGTGCAGATAAATCAACATCAATCAAAAGAAAAAAGTCGTGACATCTCAGGTCTAGATTCTTGATCAGAAGAAAACCATACATCCCCAAAAAATCTTACCTGGTCTATTCCCTTCACAAATAATGACTGCCCTTCTATTTATTTGCAGCATTTACAATTCTAGGTATAGCTACTGTTTGTTAACCTGACACCTGAGCATAATTTATAATAAACAAAATATAGCTCAATTTAAATATAATTCTGAACTTGAGAACTAAGATCCCTTTTATTATGACATTTATAGTTTAATTCATATAACTGTGCAATTAAAGGACTGCTATGGCAGCATACTTGCCTTTACCAATTGAGGCATAGTTTGTAACACCGGGGAGATTATGTTAAAGCTGTACAAAATGTTGGTTCGGCCACTGATGGAGGATTGTGTGCAGTTCTGGTCACCACACTATAGGAAGGATGTGATTTGCACTGGAGAGACTGCACAGGAAATTCACCAGGATGTTGGCTGAGATAGAGCATTTTAGCTATGAAGCGAGCCTGGATGGGCTTGGGCTGTTTTCTAAAGAACAGAGAAGGTGGAGGGTGGACCTGATTGAGGTGTATTTGTTTTTTAAAAACAACCTGTTCAGAAATATGTCATGAAACATCTTGAACAAATGGGACTTGCAACAGTTCAAAGGTACTAGCTCTGTGCCAGAAGAGCCCATGATAGAAGGTGTATAAGATTATGAGGGACATGGACAGGGTGAATAGGAAACAGCTGTTCCTTTTAGTTGAATGGTCAATAACAAGGAGACATAATTTTAAGGTGAAAGGTAGGAGGTTTAGAGGGGAATTTGAGGTGAAGTTTTTTTTTTTAACTCAGAAGGTGATAGGAATCTGGAATGCACTGCCTGGGAGGGTAGAAGAGATGGAAAACCTTACAACCTTTAAAACACATGGGTGGGCACTTGAAATGTCATAACAGTTAAGACGATGGATCAAGTGCTGGAAAGTGGGGTTAGTGCAGATAGTTCAGCACTCATTCAATGGGCTGAAGGGTCTCTTCTGACTATAAATGCTCCAGTACAAAATAAAAGTGAAAATTTTATGGATGATGCATTAACATTCAACATATTCCTCAGAAAAAAGAAACCCAAGACATACTGTACAGAATGTATAATGCAATCTTGATAATATTTTACTCAAATATATCTGCTCAAAAGGAAAATTACTGGTCAGTTATGAAAAAAAACCTATCAAGACTCCAGTTAATGTTTCAACCTAAAAATGCAAAACTAATTATTAACAGGCTATGAATTTCTGACAAATTGCTTCAGAATGTGTACTTCATCTTGAGACCTGTATCCTAATTACTTTTTAATATCTGCAAGAAACAAACATTTTCTCTCAGGTCTCCACTGCAAGACTGTATGCCATGATAGATATTTTTATGCAAATACTAACTTTTTTCTCTTTTGATATACGCTCAGCTCGAAGTGTGGCGACCTGGATTGGTGGTAGAGGCTTGTCATAGTTGATTCCGCTAAGATAACACATAAATGTTTACAAATAAATAAGATGATATACATATTGATTACTAGACAATTTTTAGCAATAGCATTGCATAGAATTACACAAAATATACAGGACAGAAACAATCTATTTAGCTCAATCTATGCTAACATAGTTGTTCCATTTGAACCTCCTCCCAAAATTCCTCATGCAACCCTTTCAGCAAAATGCACAATTCTCTCCTCTCTCAGATGCTCATCACGCTTCCATTAAATGAAAATAAGCCCTGTGGTAGCAAGTTCCACATTGTCTCCACTCTCTGGGAAAAGAGGTTTCTTGGCGACTATCTTACACCAACAGATTCTAGATTTGCTCTTCCCCACAACTGAAAAACCATTGTGCAGACTCTTATCAACCTTGTTTGTAACAGCAGCCTAACCCTGTGGTAGCTGGCCGATGGTTGAATTTTGCAGGGAGGTGAATCAATTAAGAAAGCTTTCCAGTTCATCTGCCATTCAATTATGTGCAGTGGATGGATGGAGCAATGAGGACTGATGTTAAAAGGACAGTGCACAGAGAAATGAAGAGCTGTGACACTTAGTACAACAAAAGATGGAAGAGGCTGGATACCAGAAGGGGAAGGGAAGCCCACAGACATGTCACTGGAGGTCCTGGTGGAAGGCGTGGGGAGAGCAGTGGTAGTCTTTGCTGAGGTTGGCAGCGGGTCATGAGTGGAACGCATAACCCCATGTAAGGACACAGCCTTAAAAGGTCAATACAGCCATTTATTTCTTTAATTGGCTTCAACAGAATGATATCAAGTTCTCTTTATTGAAAATTCCCTAAAACACTATCTTAAGGGGTTGTTCTCATTAGTGCAAGCCTTAACTTCGATTTGGGGTGGTAAATTGAATGGTCATTTGTCTTTTTACTGTTCTGCAATGACAGCTTGTTGTGCACTTGCCTTCCTGACCTAGCTGTATTGCTGATATTTTATGGGAACTGCAAACCAATGGAAAAGAGCTATTGCAAGTGTAAACTAGCTCTTTTTTGCCTTAATTATCCTAATTGGCTGAAAATTTCAACCACTGGGATTCCTGACCTCAATGCTGACCCATCCTTGGAAAAACAAGGAGGTGGTGCAAAAATATTGGGTCTGATGTCTTTCTTATCACAGTCATCGCACTTCCTCCTCTCCCTCCTCCCAATTCAACAACAACTTGGGAAGAATCCTCTGTCCTTGCTGTATCTACTTTAAGTAAACAGCCTGTTAGGTCACTGCCTGATCTTTCCATGCCAAGAAAAAATGGACTCCGATTGCTCATTCCCTCCCAACAAGTATCACCCAATCATGTACAAAACAAGAATCTAAAAAGCCAAAACAGCAAATAATAATCCAAGTTGCAGACCTCTCTGCTAACACAGATGCGTGCTTTGGATTTTTCTGAAAGGGATTCATTCCAAGCCTAGAAAACAAAACAAATCATTAGACATTCCAGCAATTATGAAGAGAATACAACAGTGTAGAAATTTCATCTGTAAAAGTATGTACACAAAGTTTTACCGTGTACTATACACTATATATATTTTTGCACACAAATTAGGAACTTAGGAACAGGAGTAGGACATTCAGCCCATTGAAACTGCTCTGCCATTTAATACAATCATTGCTGATTAAACACTTCAACACCTCTTACCCAAAAGTATCCCCATTTATCTTTATGCCACTGATAGATTCCTGATTACCAATCTGTACTTTAAACATACTCAAAGACTGAGCTTCCACATACTTCTGTGATAGAGAATTCCAAAGACTCATTACCCTCTGAGTAAAAGTTATTCTCCTCCCCAGTCTTAGTCCTTAATCGTATCTCCCTTATTTTTAAATTGTGCCCCAGGCTCTAAATTCCCCGACCAGAGAAAATGTCTTATCTGTATCTTCCCTGTCTATTCCTTTCAGTATTTTCTAAGTTTCAGTGAGGTCACCTCTCATTCTTCAAAAGGCCCAGTTTGTCCAAACCCTCTTCATAGGACAGTCCTGCCATCCCAGGAACAAGTCTGGTGAACCTTTGTTGCATTCCCTTTATGGCAATATCATCTTTCCTGAGATGAGGTGACCAAAACTGCAGACAGCTACGGTCTAACCAAGTTCCTACATAACTGAAGCAAGACTTCACTACCCGTGAATCTAAATCCTCTTGTGATAAAGGTTAACATTTCATTAGCATTGCTGACTGCATGCTGCACTTGCAGGTCAGTCTTCAGTGAATTACTGACAAGGATAGCCAGATCCCTCTGCACATCTATGCTTTCTAACCTCTCACTATTTAAGAAACACTAGGCAATCCTGTTCCTCCTATCAATGTAGATAACCTCACATTTTTCCACATTATATTCCACCAACCATGTTCTTGTCCAATCACTAAGCCTGTCCAAATCTTTCTGAAACCACTTTATATCTTCTTCACAACACACATCCCTGCTTAATTTTGTATAATCTGCAAATCTGAAATATTACATTGGGTCCCCACATTGAAATCACTGAAGTATAAATGAGACGAGCTGGGGTCGAAAAATTGATCCTTGCTGTACCCCGCAAGCCACAGCCTGTGAACGTTAAGAGTGACCCATTTATTCCTACTTTTTTTCCATTAGCAAATCATTGGCTCTTAAGGCCTTAAGACATAGGAACAGATGCAGCTCTCAAGCCTGCTCTGCCATTCAATAATCTTATGGCATTTTCCAGGCTATACTGCCTGTTCCACAGGTTTTAATTTTACTAACCAATCTTCTTATGATATGGTCCCCTGCAGAAAGTATTCTGTTTATTCTCATTTGAAAATGACAGTTAACAAGAGTGCATACAGAAATGCGATACAACCATCTGGCTCAGTTGTAAAAGTGAGTTGAGGCCAATATTAAGGTCTGTGTATTTCACAGACATTGGAATACAACAGTGATGATTAGAACTGGCATGAACACAGACATGAAACTAAATCTGTTACTGGGAAGTTAAGGTGAAAGGAAATAAAATATTAGTTATTCCTTTTAGGATGCTGAATGACCTGCCATGCATTTCCAATATTTTCTTTTCTTCTAACCCGCAATTTCATTTTTTGTGTTGCCACCTGATTTAGAAGAGTTTGCATTTTGCACCCACTGGGTTCCCTACTGAAATAGTTGTACACCCAAAAGGGTGCCAATTTTCAGTATTTAGTGAGTTCTACAGCCATTGATGAAACATTTCTAAACAATACCTACAGAATACAAGCCTGTACTTGAAGGCATAGATGCAAAACAAGTAGAGTGAACAGTGATTAGTCCTACCGGACCATAGGGCTGCTCTCTCATTAGAGAGATAACTGATGATGGTTTAACTTGGGGGTCATCAATCCTCAGGCAAGGGATGTGATTGAGAAGGACAGTCCTCATGGTAATCTCAGCTGGTGCGGGAATTGAGGTATATAAAATGTTAAAAAGAAGATTGACAGAGTAGACATAGAGAGGACGTTTCTTCATGTGGGGCAATCTAGAAAGAGAGGTCATAATTTTAGGATAAGGGGTGGTAAATTTAAAACAGAGATGAGGAGAAATTACTCCTCTCAAAGCAGCATGAATCTCTGGAATTTATTACCCAGAATGCGGTGGCCATGGAGACACTGACTAAATTTGAGGGGGAGGAGATAAACATTTTTTATTTGCAACATTGAAGGATTGTGGAGAACGGGCAAGAAAATGGAAGTGAGGCTGAGATGAGATCAACCACGATCATATTAAATGGTGGAGAAGGCTCGAGAGGCTGAATTTCCTACTCCTGCTCCTAGTTCTGATGTTAATGTGCAGAAATATTATTTCATTGAGCAAGCAGCTAATCTATTGTTCTTGGGGGAGATAGTGGAAGCAATTCATTTAGATATAATTTAAATTCTATTTAATTTGCATCTTGGAAGATAGTAATTTGAGACAGGAGGTGTTGTGAGTGCGCAACAAAAGGAAGGGGAGTGTAAACTCTGACTTCCAAAAGGTTCCATGATTGTCTGGATCTATTGTAACTAGCTGATATGAGATTGATTGCAGTCATTTGGCAATAGCTCCATTTAAGTGACTTCCAGGGTTACAAAAGGCAATCTCAGATCAATTTTATTTGTCCGGCAGTTTCCTAATACACCAAAAAAAAGTACTTACATAGGTTTGATTGGCGGACTTCTTTTGCCAGCTATAAGCTTCACAAGCTCAAAGTGGCTTGTGAAAAGCTGTGTATGCATAACACTCTCATCTTGTGCATAGATTTGGCTGGTTCGCAGCGGACGACTGTTTTTGTTCTTCAAATAAAATACAAATACCGTTTTAAGATGTTACAATTTGCATTTGTTAAAGTGCATGTAATATTAATTTAAAGTAATACTACGACACAATGATTTATTAAGGGATGAGCCTACCTTGTAAATGCTTTTTGTCTTTTTCTTTGGATTAGCGTCATATATCAACTGTAAATGAACAAGAACAGAGTCAATGAACTTCTTGCTCATTAGCTCAGTTAAAAATTAGGATTCACACCTTATTAAAATCCTGTCATAAACTGTGATACCATTAAAAACCTAACCAAACTGAACCCTCTCCGAGCTTGAAATTAAAGGATGGAGGCTCTAGACTGTATTGTTCTATCTAAAGTCCGAATATTGGTGAACTAAAACTCTTACTGCATCTTGCTAATATGGACGTCGGGATTTATTCCAAAGCCTCGTATTCTAGTTTATACATTCTTATGAACTAATAACTCCTTCCACACATGCAACATTATCCCTCCTGCAATGTGCAGGTATTTAAAACACAAAGTTTTGTTCAACTTTGGTCAACTTGATCATGAATTTTGGAACGTATTTTCTCTTTTACTTTCTTTTGCCCAAGGTGTGTCCTGAACAATCTCAATAGGTATATATACATATCATCAAAATCCTATACAGTTATCAATAAAGTTTTATTCGCATAGTTGTACAATATATGAACTCCTTGCATCAAAAGCAGCAATGTAGAATTCAAGGAATGGGTTTGTACCTAATAAAGATTTACAGAAATGATCTCTTAATATCACTCTAAAGCTCCTTATCTGCAAATTCAGACTTTAAAGGTCATCTTTCTGCTATGTGGTTTTAACAAATATCTGCATCAACAATTTTATACAATATTTACTGTCACAGTTAAGCTGCAGGGACAGCATTAATTGAATTGCAGCACTTCTACTCTCTGACGTCAGGAATACAACTGTGGGTCATTGCTCCACACTGGCTCATTACTTCTGTTTGCAACAATTCACTTTTCTGTTCAATGCTACGTATTATCTCTGTATCAGTTTTGTTCATTGCTCTTCAACCCATGCAACAACAGAGGTTAGCTGAGTTCCGCTCCTTCTTCCGTAACTTAGCACTATGCGGTTCTTTTTCTGGTTCTGCTGAATGCAACCCATTGCTTGAAACAATTGTTGCTGATGGTCTGCAACAACTGCATGAATTACAACAACAAAAATTAAAAGTGCCATCACTTAGCCTTTGCTCTGGGTTAACTTACTTCATGTGTTGAATGGCACTACTGCACCATCAGCAGGAATAGTGGTAGTAATATATGGAAACACTCTGAACGCTCTGCTGTTGTGCACACTGTATCATTGCTACATTTTAAAAACAACATCACAAAGATCATTAACACAAAGTCACACATGCAGTGAGCTAATCTGCCTCCGAAGCAAAGTGAGCCACACATCCGCAGACGTGGACTAGATGTGTATCTACTGTAAAGCCAGTCCTGCACGTAACTCTGATGTGAACCAGAGCATCTGTATTAGATTCTTCTGCAGATCAGATTTTAGGAGTCATAGCAAATTCGGTATAGAGTGGCCATTTGGTTCATTTTTCCTGTCAGTGTTGGGCTTTTAACTAATTCTATCTACCCTCAACCCATTGCCTGCCTTTTCTAATGTTTTAAAATTTATAGTCTTTGCTTTCAAATACTTTACCAATTCCCATTCTAATGATGTTGAAAACCTTGCTACAATTGAGCCATTGTGTGAAACATTTCACATTCTAATTGATCCCTGGTTTGAAAATAGTTGCATATATATTTCCCTTTAATCTGTCTGCCCTAAGCTTCAGAAAGCAATGGCCCAGATCTTCTAATTGGAGCAAAGGTAGACAGAAAGATGTGCCGGGGAGCACTCAGAAGTCCTGATGTACTGACTACCCAGGAATTGACTGGGAAGTTTAGACTTTCGCTGCATAATTTCTCTGGAGTCTGGAAACTTTCAAAACACTGAGCTCCAGGGCAGGGTGGCTAAAACGGAGTGGAGTTGCAAACAGACTATAAATTGCCTATGCTCTGAAAATTAATCCCTATGTATCTGATCAAGTAAGCAAATGTAGCATATGGACTTTCAGTTCATCCTGAATGTTGAAACATTCAAACTGGCAAATGCATTGTTATAAAAGGTGTAACAGTGAAGTGTCTTTTACCTTTCCTTCTTCCCTTGGTATTATCACATTTTCATATCTGTTGCGACACTGTTTAGGTGACCGGTAAATGCGGCTGCAGGAGTTAACTACATCACTGACAAGATCCCAGTTTGGTGTGTGCGCCGGGGAGATAATGGCTAGGTTTAAAGGCAACTCCAGCAACTGTTTCACAGCCTATCAGCAACAAACAATAAACAATGAAATAAAAATTGTGCCAGTAAAAAGAAAGCCATGAAATTGTTAATGTATTTGTTGGGACACTCGACACACAACCAGCAAATCTTCTACTACATTAGGCACTGGGCTGTTAAAACACTAGAGACGGATTTGGAGATAATACAGAAATTCTGAAGGGTCCTGACGCGAAACATCAGCGTTCCTGCTCCTCTGATGCTGCCTGGCCTGCTGTGTTCCTCCAGCTCCACACTGTTATCTCGTACTCCAGCATCGGCAGTTCCTACTATCTCAGAGATGGATTTGGCTCCTTTAGAAAATACAGGTTGACTTTCCACAGAGGGTTCTGCTGATTACAGAATCACCCAGCACCGAAGGCAGCCATTTGTCCCAATGTTCTTGTGTTAGCTCTTTAGCCACCTCTTTTTCAACAGTCCTGAAAATCTAATCCCTTCAAGTATTTATCCAATTCCTTTCGGAAAGTTGTTATTTTATCTATCTCCATCTACGTCGATATTTCAGATCATTATAATGCACTGCAACAAAATATTTTCATCTCAACTTCCTGCTTCTTTTATCAATTATGTTAAATCAGTTTCTTCTATTTAGTGTCAACAGAAATCCTTTCTTCCCATCTTATCAAACACTACATGATTTTGAATTAATTCAAGGAAAGAGGCTATTCTGCCCTCTATGCTTACTGGTTCTAAGCTTCAGCAAACAGAAACAATTTCTACTTATGGGATTTGTGGTGCTTTATCATCATACTTTTATCTGATGCTAAGATTATGTTTAAGTATTAAAGATGCAAAGACAATTCCACATACATCCCATCTTTTCTAAGAATAATATTCTTGTAACCTTGAGGTCAGTTACAGAACAGTTCACCATTCATGCTGAAACACAGAAATTATGTTGAGTATTTTTTAAAATATAAAAACAAGGGAATAGAAATTTATATTATGCACTGATAGCCAGAGACAATGATTAAGTTGGGCTTGGATTTTTTTTTTTTTTTTTTAAACTTTAATTACATAAATGGCTTGATCCTGCACCATACCTCATCACCATGGAGAACAAATCCCCAACTCTCCCATGCCAATGGCCTCTGTCCCTCATCTGATGATGGTCTCTAACCCACCCATCGATTACTCAGGACCCCATCCTTCCTCCAGTCATTTATCTTGTCACCCAAGTTTTCCAGCCCTCAGATGTTTGCAGCAAATGTTGACCAAACATGAACAGAGGATTACCTGCAGCAAAGCCCAGTCCTCACTGATCAGCCACTCAGGGCTGTCTGTCCCACTATCCACTGGAGGTTTAGTCAGTGTGGGCAGCGGTTTAGCAAATGATGTCTGTTGTTTCATGAACATGTTCTTCTTCTGATCTTTAGCTTCGCGACGCATCTTGAGCATGCATGGTGTTGATCTATCAAACAGCGAGCGTGGTGGGGTGACTGGCTCTCCATGCCGAGCTTTCTTGAACTTCTTTCCAGCAGCTACAACAACAAAGGTCAACTGGTTTCACTTTCTAAACGTATAAAAAGCAATATCAGACAAATGTTCTTCATATAATTTGTCAGCATCCCACTCTGCTGCGAGTGTGTGGCTGTCCTCCTTTCATATTGCCTATACACCACAGCAACACACTATTCAACCCAACTTGCGTGTGCCACTGGTCATGTTCCACAACAGCCTCCCTTTAACCTACTTCATCTCACCCCATCACCGTATCCTTCTATTCCTTTATCTGGTGCAAGAGACCAAAACTAGAAGACATAGGTTTAAGGTGAATGGGGAAAGATTTAAAAGGGACGTAAGGGACATCTTTTTCATGCAGAGGGTGGTGCATGTATGGAATGAGCCACCAGAGGAAGCAGTAGAGGCTGGTACAATTACAACATTTAAAAGGCATCTGGATGGGTATATGAATAGGAAGGGTTTAGAGGGATATGGGCCAAATGCTGGTAAATGGGACAAGATTTCTACAGGATATCTGGTCGGCATGGAGAGTTGGACTGAAGGGTCTGTTTCCATGCTGTACATCTCTGTGACTCGTGTTTACCCAGCTTTCCTGTAAATGCAATAATACTATTCACCTCAACATTCACTGACCACTTTTGAGTAAAGATGTTTCTCCTGTATTCCCTATTGGATTTAATTGTAACTACCACAGAATAATTTCCTCCACAAGTGGGAACATCAGTATAACGATGACATGTGCGTGCATGTGCGCGTCTATTTATGCGTGTTTGCGTTTGCACATCTGTGTGTGTGTAAAAATCTGCAATTAAATAAGATCTGGCCTAATGGCAACCACTGTAGATTGTCACAACAAATATGAATCACAAATTTCCTTTAGGAAAGGATGGCAGATTTCCTTACCTGGCTTGGCCTACATATGACTCAATACTTAGTACAATGTGGTTGATTCTTAACTGTCCAGTGATGCCCACATTCCAGTGGATCCATGCTGAGGCCTCAACTACTTACAATCTACACTAATGTAGACCAATTAAGCCACCCTCTTAAGCTGTGATACTCAAGGAAAATATAATAATATTACCAAACTGAAGGAAGGCGCTAACTGTATTTTTGCCATATTTGCTGATGATGCAAAGCCACGTAAGAAAGCAAGTGTGAGGAGGCCACAAAGTGATATATATTATATATACACACACACACACACACACACACACACACACACAATATCTATAAAAAGTGAGTGGGCAAAAATTGACGAATATAGTAAAACGAGTGGGTTTAAAATTACCGAAGGTCTTGAGAAAAGCAATGAAATGCATTGTTACTTCAAAGGCAGTTTCATAATGCACCAATTTAGTTGAACACAATGTCCACTTATTACACTGGTACCTCTGAAGCCATATTGAGAGCGAGAAGATCAAGTATGGATCCTTTATTGTTGAATATATGATATTCAACTAAGTTATACCTCCTTCCACATTCTTTCCTCCCCACTGATTTGGGAAGCACAATTCTTACCTGTTGGATCCAACTTTAGCCTCTTGTGCTCCTTCCGGACATAAACTGGGGGTAGTTTGGATTCCAGAATAGGCGTAGTGTCATACAGCAGGCACATTACAGGATCCATGTAGATGTCATTGTCATCTTGGGGTGGCGTTGGTGGAGTCCAAATCTGACACAGAGAAAAGAATGTTACCACCTCACCTTTAAATTATGTGACAACTCAAAATTATTTGGATGAAGTGTGTGGAAACTCACTGGCATTATTTCAGTCTGGCCATCCTGACCTTCTTTCACATATTCCTTTATCGAAAGGAAAGAAAATAATTGAAATCCTCTCACTGATAAGACAGCACAAATCACTTTATAATCACCTTTTCATGATCAGATTTGCTCATTTATTTGCATTGCATTAGCATTAGAGTACAAAAACATGTCATCCAGCCAAATTCATCGGCATTGGTGATTCTGTTTCATAAAAACATCAGTCCAGTCTATTGTTTAACCCAATTAGCATATTCTTCTACTTCTTTCACTTCACGTGATCATCTCATGTCCCTTTAACATCAGCAATACTATATACATCAACTACTCCTGTGATAGCGTGTTCTCCAATCTTGCCACTCATTGGATAAAGAAGAATGTAACGGCACTGCAGGTGCATTTACACTATATTGACTGCAGCAGGTCAAGAAAGCAGTTCATCACCGTTCTTACAAGGACAATTAGAGACAGAATGAAATATTAGCGCAGCCAGCAATGTCCATACCCCCAGAATTAAATCAAAAAGCAATGCCTACCTTGTTGTAAGCATCCTCCCGACTGTATGTGAACAACACATCATTTTCTTCATCCTCTAGCTGCCTCTTCTTTTCCTCCTTCAGAGAGTGCAAATGTCCAAACTCCCACACTCGCTTGGCAGTTTTTATACGATCCTAACACAGCCAGAAATGACAGGAGTTAAAGTCATTTTTTCTAACACACGTACATAGTCTCGGTATGTTTGAAAACAACTTCCAACATCTTTATTTCCAAAACTGTATATTTGACTTGGCATTTCCATTGCTCAGAGTTTTAATTTGAAGACATCTGCTGCACTAATAATGCAAGTTATACCTGTCATAACCACAACAAATACTGAAGTGTTCATGTACTGGTTTAGCAATCCAGTAAAAGGTTCAAAATCTACATGGCATGCCATGAATTTGAGCTCAATATAAAATTAATTATTCAACACACTGATTTTTCATAAAAGCCCAAATAATTCTTTATTATTCAAATCAAACCATTGCTTCTTTCTACAAAGACAATTTGTGAATCAGTATATTTAACACTGGACATATGGTCAATCTAGGAAAGGACAGGTGACTTTGGAACCATGGTTGCCAAATCTCACCCCTCACCCAGCTGAGGGCTTTTCTCATCTCATATGGGTTTGTTATTAGTTTGTGATAGAGATCAATCACTGATTAGTCAATACCTCCTTTCTCACTGTATAATGCAGCTGCCAGGATGTAAAAGGTGAACTTGTTGGACAGTTCTGATGTTCAGAGAAAGAAATCATTCACCCTTATCCCCTTACCCAGCCTGACTCCAGTCCTATAATGGCATTCTTGACTCCGACGCCTTTAAATTAACCAACTCAGCAACCATCTTTAAAATGGAAACAGCCCATCTCATCAGTGAATGTGGTCATGCCAACTTCACCCAGATCCAGAGAACAAATTATAAAAGAACCATTTCATTCACACAGTATCAGGTGCAAACACACGGAGTTTAATAGATAATGGGCCAAGGAAAATGTTCAGTATTGTACTTACATCTGGTAGTCTCTGCTCTGCTGGAGTTATAAATGTCTGCGTGAGCTCCAAATAATTCATCGCATACTTTTCAACTGGTGTAAGCTGTGGAAATAATTACTTGGATTATTATGCCAATTCATCTGGAGCAAAATTGAAAGTTCACAATCGCTAAGTTCACATCACTCGGATATTATTGTGACTATTATAATCATATCAATGTTCAACATGCTCATGTTCAAATTCATCTTGCGTACATTTATTTTAAATTGTGCATCTGTTAAACCAAAGGGAAAGGAGTTCAATCCAAGCACTTTTAGGTTCTTGTACAATAACATCACTCCCAGCCTAAACAGCTAAAAATCCCTTTAAACTAATAAAAAGGATACTATAAGTTGGTTTAAACAATGAAGCATATTTTGGAGATGTCAACTTGCAGAAGGGAGAAAACAGCAGTAACATCTTGTGCTGCTCAGCAAGGGAGCTACAAAATGCAGATTCGTTTAGCAACTTTCTAAATCCAAGCTTTTATAAATAATAGCTTGGCTCAAGGGGTAGCAGTCTCATTCAGTCAATATATCATAGATCCAACTCCACCTCACAAGCTTGACCACAAAATCTTGACTGATACTTAACTGCCATACTGTGATAGTGTTGCACTGCTGACACTCCTATCATTCAATTAAAATATTCAGCAGTGGTTCTCGCAGTCTTTTCAGATGAATGTAAAAGGTTAACACAGCATTATTTGAATATGTAAACTAAACATTCAGTCCATATAAGTATTCCATTTGTAAATGATTAAGCACGGCAGTTCATACAAGTAGTCAAGGAAAAACAGACCTGAAATGCACAACTATCAATAGTGAAAGTATAGGGAGGAGAAGCACTTAAAGAGGCAGGAACCGCAAGAATAAAATGCATGGGATACAACCGAAAGAGAGGAGAAGCAGGAAGTTAGGATATTCAGTGGGGGGATTTAAATATATGGAAGAGGGCTTAAGCTTAAAATCTAAAGCATGAACAATTAAGCAAATGACACACAATTAATTGTAAGTCAGAGTATACACTAAAAGACAAAATTTCTATTGGTTTTTTAAACACTCATTAAAAGGCAAGTCAGAAGCATTAAAGTAAACAATAACAGAAATACTGTACAGGCTGATTTTGGTGCCATTCAGATGTAAAAATTAGTAAGTGCTGACCAAATCCAATTTATTCATTTAGAAAAATGAGGCAATTGAGATAAATTAAAGATCTGATACCAACTTTAAAGGAAGGAAGTAGATACATTATTGACTAAAACAGAGTCAAGGAGTGAAAGGATTCATTGTGATCCCATTTTGAGGCTTGAAAATTGTCATGATCCCTCAGGGAGAATCGTTTTGGTAGGAGTTCAGCTGTTATGACTTGGTCAGAGCTCCACTGTGCCCATTGCTGCCTAAGAGCTCACAGCCCCACCAGGGGGAGCCCTAGGTCAAGCAGTAGAATGAAGCTGAAGCCACATTCAGATTATCCATGAATTTATTAAATGGTGGACTAGGCTTGAGACACTTAATAGGCTAAATCTCCTCTAATTCATACGCTCTTAAATTGGAAGGTTTATAGACACTAATAGATTTCATACAACTGTTGTCATTCAATTTGGTCAGAAGTCCACTGCCAAGTCACCATTACATGCATCAGACTCCTCCAGGAGCAACATCAAAATCTTGCCATAACCAGGTACTGGAGAAATGGACTTCAAACCTATTTTCATCTGCTTGTTCCTCCCAGCTTTGAGAGACATTCACACACACGCACCTATACAAGCTCACGTTCACTCTGTCGCACCCTGCCCCCTTGATTTTCTGCCCAAATTACTATTTCGCAGTCCACCTTCAACTTGGTGTTCACGCTGCACTCTTTTTGCGTTAATGTAAGTAATATTGAGCAGTTTTGTAAACTAGCACATCACACTGGGACTCAGATGGCTAACAAGCCTAATCAGCACAGTAAATACTGATCCTAAAATCATGAACTCAGTTGTCAGCCACTCACTAGTTTCAGAGAAAAATTAAGTTACAAATTAGGCATAATTTATCACAGTCAGTGACAGTAACAACTATCCCTGCAGGCAAAAAAAAATCATAAAATAATTCTGAGAATGATATACCAGTCACCATTTATAGTGAATTTAAAAGGTTGAAGGTGATCTTTATACCAGTAGTTTTGAAGATTGTTTACATAAAATATTCTCTGGATTTTAATGCATGCCATGAGCAATGAAAAACACCTCCAATACATTAATCTCTCAACATTCCATTTGTACAAAGTGACATTTTTAGCAAACAATAAATGACTCATCAATGGTATCCAAACTAACAGCATTAGGGTGACTAAAAGCTTGGTCAGTTTGAAGGCACACTCTAAAAGGAGAAAGATACAGAGGTTTAAAAAGAGAATTCCAGAGCTTAAGGCCCAGTGGCTAAAAGCAAGGTTAATAGTGGGGTGGGAAAATCAGGATAGTAAAACAAAGATCAGAGGGCTGGAGGGACAATGTCATACGAAAACAACTAAAATTCTAATACAAATACACCCAATCGAGTCATCTTGGCTCTTTGGAGTTGAAACAAAAACTGGGGAAATAGCAATGCCTTGGTGCAATACTTCAACCAAAGTCTACCTGCCAACCAGTCAGCACCTGTTTACAGTATAAATTGTTGTTCCCGTTGAAATTTTGCATTCTCGTGTGTGTTCTGGTGAGTGCAATTCAGACAGTTTCAACAGCCTGTCTTTTCAGCAATTACATTTATTTCTACATCGAGATATTGTTGGACAGGGGGCAAGTGTAGGTCAGTATGTGAAAGGTTTGTGAGTGAACTGGGCTTGGTGCAAGTAGTGGTACTTTCTCTGGCCAGTAATCCAAAGGCCCAGGCAGACACAGTAGAGGCATGGGTTCAAATCCCACCACAGCAGCTGATGAAATTTAAATCAAATAAATAAATCTGAAATTAAAATGAAGTCTCAGTAATGGTGACCATCAAACTACTGTCAACTGTTGTAAAAACCCATCTGGTTCACTAATGGCCTTTAGGGAAGGAAACCTCTCATCCCTACCTGGTCTGGCCTACATGTGGCTCCAGTTCCACAGCAACGTGGTTGCATCTCAATCGCCAACTACCAATTACCCTAGCAAAAGATTCAGCTCAAGAGCAAATAGGGAGGATCAACAAATAGGGGTGGCACAGTAGCTCGGTGGTTAGCACTGCTGCCTCACAACGCCAGGAACCTAAGTTCGATTCCACCCTCAGGTGACTGTCTTTGTGGAGTTTGCACATTCTCCCCGTGTCTGCGAGGGTTTCTTCTGGGTGCTCCGGTTTCCTCCCACAATCCAAAGATGTGCAGGTCAGGTAGATTGTCCATGCTAAATTGTCCCATAGTGTTCAGGGATCTGTAGGTTAGGTGGGTTATAGGGGGATGGGTCTGGGGGGGATGCTCTAGGGGCGATGTTGACTTGTTGGGCCGAAGAGCCTGTTTGCACCCTGTAGGGATTCTATGATTCTATGATCTATTTCAAAATGCTGTTCTTTCCAGTGATACCCACATCCAATGAAATAATACATAAAAAGGAATACTTTAACAACTACACTTGTTAGGTACCAGTAGCTCAGGATATACCTAACAACAGCATAGCTTTAAAGTTGATCTTCAGCGTCAAGGTGCTCCATGAGGTCAAAATGCTCAGATAATCACAACATATTTAAATCTTTCAAAGCAACACACACTGTGACAAATAGGTGTAAGGGAAAATTTTGCTGGGCTCTGGGGAAAGAGCAAAGGGATTGGATCTAATTGGATACCTCTTCAAAAGAGTCAGCACAGGAAAAGATGGGCCAAATGTTGCTGTTCAATAAAGGCAGATTAAGAAACAAACCTTATAAAGCAAACAGAGAAAACAAGTCACCTGCTCAACGAGTGCAGCCAATTCGTCCAAGTATGCAGGCTCTTCAGTGTTGGTACACCTGCGTTGCTCCAAAGAATTTCCAACACCTTCCCTCAGTTCTGCCCTTGCTGTCTGTCCCAATCTGGCGTGATCGCCACTTTCCTGTTCAATGCTGTTCAGTGCCTTCAGAAAACAGAAAGCAGAATTTTATTAAAAGGCACGTTTTCAATTGAAGGAGGTTCCATTAAAAAGGCGCATATGAGTAAGCGCAGTCTTCTGTTGAACTGTTTTGGGGTTTTAGGAAATGGGTGAAATGTGCAGCAAGACATGAGAGCAGCAGTCACCCATATAGCATCTCAAACCTGTCCTGTCACTCAATAAGATTATGGCTGAACTTCTAACTCAACTCTACTTCCTTGTCCTATCCCAATTCCACTGTGTACTTCTTACTTGATTAATCTCCCCTCATCTCATCTGCTTCAGATCTAAAGTACCAACTACAGACACTGTGGTGCAATAATGAGGGGGAAGTCACTTTGACACTTAATTTGAAGAGGTGGTGACATGTTCTGGATGATGTTGAGCTTCTTCAGTATTGTTGGAGCTGTATTCATTTAGACAAGTGAAAAGTATTTCATCACACTCCTGACTTGTGCCCTCTATGTCGTGGACAGATTTTTGGGGTGTCAGATGGTGAGTTATTCACTGCAGTATTCCTAACCTCTGAAGTGCTCTTACATCTACTGATGTGGTTGGACCAGTTCAGGTTCTGGTCAATGGTAAACCCTAGAGCATTGACATTGGAGGATTCAGGGATAATAATACTTTGAATATCAAGGGGAATTTGAGACACTTAGAAAATCTCAATGCAACCAAGCAGATTCATCATGGTTTTATGAACAGGAAATAATGTTTGATTAATTTGGAGAGTTTCTTGAAGTAGAAACAAGCAACATGGATAAAAGGGAACTTATTGGTGTAGCGCACTTACATTTTCAGAAAGTATTTGACAAGGTTCCCCATCAATTGTTGCCTCCTACACTAGGAGCTCTTATTTTGTACCGTAACATATTAGCATGGATACAGGATTAGTCAGACAACAGAAAACAGGGCAGGCATAAAATAGGTTATTTTCAGGTTGAGAGGACGCAATAAGTAGAGTGCCCCAGGGATCAGTGATGGGGCCTTAACTGTTTACAATGTCTTGGATGAAGAGGGCCAAAGGAATTGTTACTAAATGTGCTGGTGACACAAAGAAAAAAGGGAAGAAAATAAGTTGTGAAAAGGATGTATAGAATCTGCAAAGGGATTTGGATATGTTAAGCGAGTGGGCAAAAATTTGACTGATGTGAGAAAATGTGAACTCCCCCACATTGGCAGGAAGAATAGAAAAGCAACATCTTATTTAAATGGACAGAGATTACATAACTCTTGAGGTAGAGGGATTTGCGTGTCCCGGTAAAAGCACAAAATGTTAGTATGCAGGTACAACAAGTGATTAAGGCAGCAAATGGAATGTTGTTTATTGCAAGGGGAATGAAACATGAAAATAAGGACCCTTTACTACAGTTGCATAGGGCACTGGTAAGACCGCACCAGAAATAACATGAACAGTATTGTTCTCCTTATTTATGGAAGGACATCATTGCATAAAAACTGTTTAGAGATGGTTCACTTCACAGATTTCATGCATGAGAGAGTTATGCAAAGGTGAAAGCTTTGGCTTGTATCAGAGATCAGAAGAATGAGACGTAATTTATTGAAGCATAAGAGATCTTAAGGGAACATGACAGGAAAGATGCTGAAAGTATGTTTGCCCTGCAGGGCAGACTAGAACTAGATGGAGCAGTCTAAAAAATATGGGGTCTCCCATGTATGACTGTGATGAGGAGAAACATTGTCTTGAGACTGTGGAAATTACTACTTCGGCAAGCGGTAGAGGTGGGGTCATCGGATATTTTTTAAGGCAGAGGTAAACAGTTTATTTACTAACAAGAAAGTCCAAGGTTATCAAGAATAGGCAGCAATGTGGAGTTGGTGTCACCATTAAATCAGTCACAATTTTATCTAATGGCGGAATAAGCTGGAGGGACCAAATAGCCTACTCCTGCTCCTAACTAATATTCCTGTATGAACATTAAGTTACTGTGTGAATACGTTATACACACACTTGCTAGTTACACCCTTCTGTAAATGCCATACAAGGAATGCATTCTATAGTATAACAGATTGAAAATTAGCATATCACTTTTCTCCAATGCAGATTGACATAGTACTAATAACAAGGAACAGACCATTCACAGCCCAACTAGTTTGTACTGGAGATAATTCCACACTCCACAATTTATTGGACTTCCTCCCATTCCTTTCTTTCTAATTAACACACTTTAAATTTATATATTCTGCTCTGTATTAAATGGTCAACCCATAAGAACAAATAAGTTTTAAAATAGTTTTCGAAAACTATTAATCTGATTTTTTTCAGCATACCTTAAATATTTACCCATTGCCCTTTTAAAAAAAAACAATGCTTGGTTTCTTGAAATAATGGGTAAAAGGGAAGAAAAGTTGAATATTTTATTGAAATATCTTGAATATCTATTTGGGAGGGTGAGGCTGTTGATAAAGAATCACTATTTACTCTGAACATGTGGCAACAGCAACACCTTGTGGTCACATTCCACCTAGCTCTCAAAAACAGCGCAACCAATTTATTGGTCAATCTACATCACAACAACCTGTGCATCTTCAAAACAGCAGAAGGTCTTGAGATGCTTCAGGGGAGTGGTATCAAACACCTAGCACATATATTACCTTCTTTGTGCTATTTCTCTTTGTAGAACAATACTCACCACTGAAACATTGTAGATAGTAACTTCACTCTAAGCTTGATGAATTTATTCTCTCACAAATATAACACAGAGGTGCATGAGGAGGCACTAAACGAACAGCTCTGCCACCTCATAAGGAAGGTTGAACGTTCAACCATATCTAAACAACAAGGGAAGCATATGGGGGCAGATTTCCCAGTCTGATGCAGGAAGATGTGGGAAGGAACATTTATATACAAAAAACTGTCATAAGATATTTTTTAAAAAGTGATTTTACAAACAGCTCGTGTTTTTTTCTGTTGAAGGAAGTTGTAGACTTTCAAATAAGATCACCTGCAAGCATAAAACTGACAAGCTTGCTCTAAAATTAAGTTAGGTCTGTATGAAGTATTGTCTCTCACTTATCATGGGTGATTGCATGTGAATGTGTGATGATTTCATTATACTTCTGCCAGTGAAGTTATAATCCCATCCACTGCAGGCCGGGTAGGGTAAGAGGCTTGCAGCGAGACAGCATTTACAACATGATATATAGACAGATATATAGACAGATGCAATCTCCGTAAAGAGGACCAAAGGACCATTTAATACAGGATAAAACGCATCATTTTAACATGAGGATGGAATTATATTTACACAGCTTCATCCAGCTAACCATATAGAAACAGCATTATTGAAGGAGGAAAAACATTAACCTGCCTTCTTTACTCTCAACAGTGGCTGCTGGACAAGCTATTTCCAAGACTTTCCAAAAGCTTTTGTCCAACTTGGGAAATGAACAAGACATATTGAACAGATTGTAACAGTACGCCAGTTACAAAGCTAACAATTAAATGGGTTTGAATACCTCCAGGAAGGGTTTGGTCTCTTTTGGTGAGATTTGGTTTGCTAAGGATGGCACCTGAGACAGCACAACAAACTCCTCCGTCTTTAACTTTGACGCAGTCTCTCCCATGAAAGCAGGAATTTCAAACAAGTCACGGACTGTTTGCTGCAACAAAATGTCAGAGTTTGCACTGATCATAAAAAGTTCAGGTAATCCTAAATATAATCACTCATTCTGCAGCTAACAAAGAAGCAATCCTAACATCATTGAAAATAATCAGCACATGCAGTTTAAGACGGTCATCTAAACTTCCAAGATGGCAAATAAACATTTTGCATAGACGTAGTCTAACATACAGATGTCAATTCTTCAGCTCTCAGCCAGCTTTAAGAAAGATCAGGTCAGTTGCAATTAGGTGGTACTTACACACAGAGGCAGACCATTTGTTCAAACTAATTTCTTCAGATACAGTGTGACTGGTCGCCAGGATCTGTAGCCCATCCTAACTGCCAATAAACGGAATGGCTTGCTCAACCATTTCAGACAGCAGTTAAGAGTCAACTATGCTACCACGGGTCTACAGTCACAGGTAGGCCAGACTGGATAACGATGGTGGATTTCCTTGCCTATATGACATTACTGAGCCAGATGTGGTTTTACAACAAACCATTGTGATATACATTCCTCCCAATTTCTCGACATCACGTGTACCTCTACGGTTGGCACATGGCAGCACTAGAGACATTGGAAGTGAATGCGTGGACACATGAATCAGTGTGCATGCAGCCCACATGGATGCAG